GGTGTTTATCTTATACCTTTTACCTTTTCTGTTTTATTCACTTTCAATTTTTTTTCACCATACACTCTTTTCAGAGCATTATACACTTACACCTGTTCATACTTCCTCATCACGGCCAATAATGCATGCTTAACCAGCTCTGTGTATTCTCCCCAGCTCTGTGACCAAGCTCCTGGTGGATGGGGCAAAATGTGTCAGGGGGCGTGCCTGGAGTAGTGGCTGAGGCCAACACTCATGCCGATTCTATTGGGCTGGTGTGAGTGGCAATTATCTTTCTTGTACATTTACACTCCTGGATTGTGTTGAAACGCTGGCTGGCTCCCACTTTGTTTTTCCCCGCAGGGTAACTCTATGATGTCTGGCTTTTGAGCAGTGCTGTAAGTCTTCTACACCCTGCTCAAACTTATTATTATAGAGTGACTAATGGAAAATAGGGTTACATTCACTTAGCTGTAAAAATGTTGCTGATATTTCTGGAACAAAATTTCCTGTATAAAAGATACTTGCTTTTTGTCAGGAAAGGGCTCACCACTGGTGGTCCTGTGGCTCACCTGCTCTGTGGGCTGCAGTACCAGCTCCTACCAGAGAGTGCCATTCAGCAGCTAGGATCTGAACTCCTGCAATCAAGCTATCACCTGAGGCTGATTGCAAGAGGTGTATTTAAACAGCAACCAGGCCTGCGATCAGTGCCTTGGTGTTGTCCTTGTGCCCCTGTTACCTGCTAAACCTGCTTCTTGCTAAACCTGCTACCTGCTCTGTGTCCCGGCTTCCCTGCTCCCTATGGTTGATGTCCCGTGTATGACCCCGGCTGGCCTGACTACTCTTGTTGCTGTTTGTATTGGGTGTAGTGTTTGTATTGAGTTGTTGTTTGTGCTGTGCGTTGTTACTGTATATCACAAATAAATGGTATTTTCATTAATCCTGAAGCCTGGTATTCCCTATGTCAATCCACACATCTCTGGTCATAGCCAGGTTTCTGACACTTTTACAGTAGATCTATTTTTGAAATGTGTAAAATTGTCCTGTCCAAATAAAAAATTATGGTGCTACAAACCGTGACTATATTTACTATAGGATGAAGAGGCAAATAAGCAGTCTATGCCAGTACAAAGTTGTGCATACCATAGAAAGCCATAGCATAAGTAAAAGTCCAGCACCAACAAGGTATGAAATAAAATTATAATTCTTTATTCTGGATCCTTCAATACATAAAAATAATCCATCCAATAAAATGTAAAATTGTCCCGTGTGTTTATTTAATATCAGAACGCATTTTCTTCTGGTGTATACACATGTCCTCAAATGAAGATTTTTGTTCTATAACTTATGAATACACACATACTGTGTGTGTGTATATATATATATATATATATATATATATATATATATATATATATTGCAACACTGGCAACTAGAAGTAGATGAAGAATATTTTTACTTATGTATACACATTTGCATGTTTATGCACCTTTAAGCTCATTTATGCAAGGTCTTTATGGAACATTTTACTTGGAATCCCTCTGTCAACAAGATCCTGAGTATAAACATCACTTAATATGTCTGCATGCAAGAGCCCTAATCCAAAACATTTTTAAATTAACTTTTTAAACTTGTATTAAATAATTTTTTAACACTGTAGCGTCTTCTTTAAAATGTATTTTTCTATGCACAGTGAGTGCACTGATAAAGAAATAAACTGACCATTTGAGCAATATAGGTTTATTTACTCACAAACTACAAACTTCATATGATCAGCATGAGGTATTTGACATGGTGATCACAAAATTGAAAACCATGAAGAATGGTTGCAAATATTTGGTAGCAGCAACTGGCAGCTGTCAGTGATAGTGTAGTCGTAGCACTAAGAACATAGGAGGAAACGTAATCTAAATATTGCATTCTTGTACTGTAGTATATGTGCTTTATTACTGAATGGCATAATTTTTTTGTCTTGTTCTAGTTTATAGATCTTTTTTGCAATATAGTGATAAATCCTGGGATTTCTTTGATTTTTTTCCTTTTTTTTTTAAATTATTATTAATTTGAATAGCAGTATTTTTTAGACCATATTTTAGCATCATGTACATGAGTTTGGTAGGAAGGCATTCCAATGTCCAATGAATACTGTTCTATAATATTGTCTTAGAGAAGATATCTAACTTTTTAGGTGAATTTGAAATGAATAAACAAACACAAAATAAAAGGTTTGAATAAGAATTGTATGTAGGGATGTACATTTTCTGTTTCTTAGATGCTGCATTTGCCTTGTGTCAGACAGGGAGTGGTGTCTAATAAATTGACAAATCTTTGAGTACAGTAGTATATAGGGGTAGATTCACTACCAACAGAAGGTCTACCTGCTTGTGGGAAAGTAATAGAAAAAAAAAAAAATTAAATCATGTCTAAACACAAAAATAAAAAAAGTACTATATTGCAATTTACCAATCATTAAATAGGATGGTCACAATAGTTTTCATTTTTCAACATGAACAGAAAATTCCTGTCGGTCTTGCCAGAAATGCAATGTCCTTATGATTTCTGTAAGATGAATTGAAAGCACACATATATTTATCTGTGTTCCAAGCTGTCTTCTGTAAACTACTAATGCTCTAATCCCATGCAATGCAGAGGAATAGAAGAGAGGGAGACTCATTTGTAGTGCAATATAGGGAGAGCAGGATGACAACCACAGCTCCTGTAGAGATACAGTGGAGGAGAGAGCACAGCCACCCAAAGACAAGGTATTCACAGGATTACTTGATGAAAATACAGAGAAAAAATTTTGAAAAAGAAAACAAATATCCAACAAAATCTACTGACTGGTAAACTGCAATTTATATATGTTTTTGTTCTGGGGTTTAGATATGCTTTAACTTTACCAGACTCTCCAATTTCCCAAGAAAGGATAGGTACAGAAAAAACATCAATATTCTATGTTGAAAAGGAGAATGGGACATTCATGGAAAATATGTTGTAGGTAAATTAATTTTTAGAATAAACATATGCTGGATATGAATATAAAGCTCCTCTTGCTATCCCATACTTTAGAGCAGGCGTCTCCAAACTTTCCAAACAAAGGGCCAATATACTGTCCTTCAGACTTGGTGGGGACTGGACTGTGGCTGGTGGGAGTAGAAAATGCCTTGGTGTCAATGACAGCAAAAAGCCCCATCATTGGTATTAGTGGGAGGAATAGTGCCCCATTGTCAGTATCAGTGGAAGGGATAGTGTCCCATCATTGGTGTCAGTGTGAAGTATAGTGCCCCATTGATGGAGTCAGTGGTAGGAATAGTGCCCAACTGTCGATATCAGCGACAGGAATTATGCCCCATTGTTGGTGTCAGTTGGAGGAAGTGTGCCCCAAGGGCCAGATAAAGGCAAGCTGAGGGCCACATCTGGCCAATTTGGAGACCACTGCTTTAGAGGTTACTACAGATGTTCCTTTATCAATTGGCTAAAACATTTTTACAGGGGGGCTGATAGCTTCATGCTTGTGAATGGTTGGATCAGACTGCTCTTTGGAGTTGGCTTAGGTGTGCATCAGGGATGTCCTTTGAGTCCTCTGCTATATGCAAGTGGACCGTTGTGTGGCATGCCTTTAGGAAATCCTGGTGAACCTCTTCTGAGGGTCGTCGCCTATGCTGATGATGTGTCTGTTTCATCTGTGGGACAGAGGAGGCGGAAGAGGTGAGCATGTGGCTCAAAAGATCAACTAGGATAAGAGTGAAGTTTTCTGGATGGGAGAAGAAGGTGAAGATTCTGAGCTTCTGGATGCCTTTCCAGAGCCCCAACAGGAAATTAAAGTTTTAGGCATCAAATTTGTTCCCAGCTCTTACGGTCAAATTGGGTAAGCAGGCTACAAGATGCCGATGTGAATTTTGCTAGCTAGAAGGATTGGAAACTCTTTTACAGGGAAAGGATTTACCTTATTAAAACTTGAATCATCCTTGTATTTCTTTGTCAGCTTTGTCTGTGTTTTGCCAGTGTGTCTCTATGCAAAGATCTACAGCTATTTCTTACAATTGTTATGAGGGAACAGACTGAACCTCGTTAAGAGGTGTGTAACCTACCTTCCCAGGCAGGTGAGTGGCTTAGGTATAGGCAACCGGGTGGATTGATCCTCAGAAATAAAACAGCACTACCTGAACTTGCCCAGCTACCTCTAATCTGTGTCTCGTTCTGAATAAAAGTGTAATGTGCTAATAACAGTGCAAATATATCATATTATGTGACCAACCCTTTCATAAAGTGTAAACCAACTGTATGTATGAACTTTCTCATATATATATATATATATATGTATATATATATCTAATGTCCCACAAAGTCCAACAGATATTCCCATGTCCATGAAAAATAAAACCGTCCACCCATACAAATTCTTTCCTTTGTGAGTATTAAACCATTCTGATGACACCACCAACAAAGTGCTCATCACTGAATGCATTAAATAAACTCACCATAGCGATATGCTGGTCAAATCATAAACCTCTGAGGACACCCAGTGGGTGTAGTACGGACCGTAGTGACGTCACTACCAGTGTTTGGAGCACACAAGCGGTGTACTGCTTTCCAAGCCAATATTTATACTATTTTTACTCTGGAAACATGTCAGTGCAACATATATGTACCGTATTTTTCGCTCCGTAAGACACACTTTTTCCCCCCCAAAAAAAGGGGGGGGGGGAATGTCAGTGCGTCTTATGAAGCGAGTATAGAGCGGCCGGTCCGGTATTTCCACCGCCGCCGTGTCAGAATACCGGGCTGGCCGCTCAGCTCTGCAGCGGGACCTTATGGAGATGACTGCTGAACTTTGGGGAGGTGGGGAGCGGGTACCTGAATTTGACAGGTACCAGCTCTTACTTCCGCTGAGTTGTTCTTTGATCTTACCTGTTCCTCTATCCAGCTGCGCGCTGTCTTCCCGGCTTCTGTAGTGTGGGCGCTGGGCATGACAGCCGGGTGCCAAGTGCACATGCGCAAGAAGCGGTGCTTTTTGTGAATGGTAAGGCGGTACCTGGGACACATGACAGATCCCAGAAGCCGCCGGACCAATCACAAAGCGCAAGTGCTTCTCGCTCATGCGCACTGGGCACCCGGCTGTCATGCCGAGCGCTGACATTACAGAAGCCGGGAAGACAGCGTGTGGCTGGATAGAGGAACAGGTAAGATCAAAGAACAACTCCACGGAAGTAAGAGCGGATACCTGTCAAATTCAGGTACCCGCTCCCCCCCTCCCCAAAGGTCAGCAGTCATCTCCTGTACTGTCCGCAATCTCTGGTCATCCCTGTGCTGTCCACAGTCTCTGGTCATCCCTGTGCTGTCCGCAGTCTCTGGTCATCTCCTGTACTATGTCCGCAGTCTCTGGTCATCTCCTGTACTATGTCTGCAGTCCATTAGTTCAGAATTATTTTTTTCCTGTTTTCTGCCTCTAAAACCTAGGTGCGTCTTATGGTCAGGTGCGTCTTATGGAGCGAAAAATACGGTATCTACTTCTATTTAATAAATGGAATCACGCTATTTGGATGCCTTCCTCCATTCTTTGCATGCACATTATGTTACGATATCAGGATGATTGAGGATGATAAGCATCATTCAAATCAGGAGAACTCCAAATGCCCCACCAAATCACGAATGACACTTGTTTCGTTATAAGAGTCCAATACAGCTGGTGAGTTAGTGGGCACACAGGTGGGGAGCACAGAGCATGAATCACCTATTGTTTGTGGAAGAAGCACATGCATTAGTTTATTAATTTCACATCAAGGACTTTATTTTTTCACTTTATGTATAATGGTTATCTAGTGTATGCCATTTCTTATCAATTGTATTTGGGCAGAGCTTTCATATGTAAATTGTTTATTGGAGAAGGTTATACCTTTGTAAGAGCAGCAGCCTACCAATTCACTTTTTTTATTTTTATTTTATGTTAATTTTTAATTTCATTTAAAATCATTAAGTACACATCTGTCATGGGCAAACGTTAATTACTATATAATATATACATATATGTTCTTAATAAAAAAGTGTCCAAACACATATAAAAGTACAAGAAATTATATAACATAAATCATGCTGATGGTAAAACAATTAACTCAAAACACTCTCTAATGTCCCACAAAGTCTAACATATAATCTTGTGTCCATGCAAAATAAAAATATACACCAATAAAAAAATCCTTTCCTTTGTGAGTATTAAACCATTCTGATGACACCACCAACAAAGTGCTCACCACTGAATAGATTACATAAACTCACGATAGCAATATGCTGGTCAAATCATAAACCAGCATAAAAGTCTGTTGCTCTGGGAGTAACGATCTGCAGCTTGTGGTTCTGTCTCCAGAGGCTTCTCAGAACAGCACACCCATATATCATATTCACTCATAGAATGAAAAAGAAGGGAGCTTCCATAGCGTAAACCCATTCACCAAGTTTATTCATATAAAAAGCAGAAAACCACTCACATTTGTTCGTGTCTCCACTGACACAAGTAAACTAGCATATAATTGCAAACTAAATTGTCTCCACCAGCAATCAAATCCACAAGACTCAACCCCGGCGTGTGTGGTGACTTAGCTCCTGGCCCCACCCTATGCATTTCCGCCTGGGTGGGTTGGTATGTTCCAGTTATGGTTTAGGCCTTTTCTGTGAAGTTGGGAGAATGGTGGCCTAGTGAAAAGACTGAGGGTCTGACATGGTAGGCTCCCATCTTACATTGTCCTGTGCCTGAAAATGCTTTGGCAGCAGCAAGTGATGGCACAGAAAATTAAGTATCTTCCTAGGAAGGCTGTGGAGAGGAGGGTTGTTGAATCTGCCTTTAGCAAGCCACTAGCTTTGAGGAATTGCCCAGATCCTGTAATGAGGGAGGTTCTGTGTTTGATTAATCTGGAGAGAATCCCTTTAAAATTTCAGGATTTGGCCTGGTGCTCTTTCCATGGCAGACTGTATGTGAAGGGCAACCTGAAGCATCGCTCTTTGTGTGGTTGGGTGGAGGAGATGATGGACTATTTTTCTGGGTATGGGCTCTGGGTATCCCTTTCATTCCCTGCTTGAGTTGGGTGGAGTGGTTATGCAGGGCCTTTCAGACTCACCAGGATTTAGATTTTCTGTTGCAATGTTTTTATTGAATTTGAAATGACAAAACAGTACAAAAGCACCAAAACAGTGATAAAAATGAGGCGTTTACAGAAGTAAGTCTTATATATAGGTGACCAGAATGATATTACCTCAAAATGAGGGATTCAAAAGATAACAGGGGGAGAGGAGATAATAACACTACAATAAATTTAAGCATAGCATCCTCTATTCCTCCTGGAGGGTGGAGCACCCATATAATCTAGACTATATTATTGAACCCTGAGTAGAGGTCCGTAATACAGACCAAAAATACACATAGGGAAGTCGAGAGAGAAAAAGCTGAGAAGAAAGAAAAGAAAAAAGAGTAGTAAAGGAAGTCTACACCCATCCAGGAAGTCTGTCGATTTAATGGCGATCTTAAATGTCTGGTACCTGCAGCTAGGATAGCCAGGGATTCCATATTTTTTCAAACAGAGGTTGTTTATCCCTTAGAACACTAACTAGTTTCTCATGTAACATGATCCAGGTTAGCTTCCATTTTATTAAGGCCAAATTAATCACAGGACTTTTCCAAGCAGTAGCAATTGCTATCTTGGTGGCTAGGAACATGAAATGTATCAAGGTCTGTGTGGGTCTTGGAACATTATGCACAGGTTCATTGAGTATCGTGGTCTGAGCGTCTTTGGGAATATTAATCACAGTTATGGAGTAGAATAATGAGTGAACCTGTATTCAAAATTGTCGGACCTTAGGGCAAGACCACCATACACTGAAAAACACATGGACCCTAACTTGAAAAAACGAATGGGGCTTTTAGAGGCATCATACCAAAAAGAAGGTCAATACTCAAAGTATAAAAAGTTAAAGCTTTAATGAACAATGTTAAAACCACGGTTGTGTTAAGGGTTTTGAGCATTCACATAGCTTATATTAAAAGTCATGTGTAGCTTGTGCAAAGTAACAGGCTTATTTCATAACATTGCAGAAAATAACCCTAGATGATTTGACTAGAATAGTTGACATTTATTTCTCTGACATGTTTTGCAGGACAATAGCTCGCTTCCTCAGGGAGATATAATATATAGTTCTAAAATTATGTAAACAAAGCCAGAATAAGCATTCAACATATCAAAAAATGCCAGGAAAAGATAACATCTGTTACAACCCAATATTCAGGTTTACCAGATGATACCATCAAGATGTTCATAAAGATCCACAAGGAGCCATGACCATTTGACCATTTGAATCCAAAAAGGGGTCCCTCCATCAAGGGTGCAGAGATGGGCCAGGCGGACAAACCACATGTCCATAATAAAAAAAAGCTGAGAAAACAGATGAAATCATCTGAGTATCCCAAATCCATCCAAACTACACCCCTACTCCGGGAACAGATTTTAACACTAAATTAGTAAAACGGGACAACAGGGAGGTATTCTATGCATAGGTACATATTAAAATTAACCCTTTCCAATAGAACACCTCTGGGAGATCATGTCTCGGTCCATCCGACGCCGCCAGGTTGCACCTCAGACTATCCAGGAGCTCAGTGATGCCTTGGTTCAGATCTTGGAGGAAATACCCCAGGACACCATCTGTTGTCTCATTAGGAGCATGCCCCGATGGTGTCAGGCATGCATACAAGTACATGAGGGCTATACAAACTACTATATACCATTTTGAGTTGCTGCAATGAAATTTCAGCAAAATAGACTAGCCTGCTGAACCATTTTTTCACTTTGATTTTTGGGGTGTCTTTGAATTCAGTTCTCTATAGCTTGATAATTTTCATTTCCAACAAACTATGTGGAATACTTATGTTCCTAATACATTACCCCATCCATATCAGTATGGATATCAAGCATGATATTTTTCCCCATTGAGATCTGATGTGTTTTCAAAGTGTTCCTTTAATTTTTTTGAACAGTGTGTATACTTTTTCTTCATTTTGGAAAGCCAAATATTTGGATGTGCATTAGTTTTGGAAAGAGTTAATTCTAATATGTACCTAGCCGAGGTCTATGCATAGAATACCTCCCTATTGTCCCAAATTACTAATTTGGTTATGTTAAAATCAGTTTGGGGAGTAGGTGTGTAGTTTGGATGCATCTGGGACACAGTGAATATTCAGATGATTTGATCTGTTTTCTCAGCTTTCTTTTTGTTATGGACATGTGGTTTGTCCACCTGCACCCTTGATGGAGGGACACCATTTTGGATTAAAATGGTCATGGCTCCTTGTGGCTCTTTATGAATATCTTGATGCCATCATCTGGTAAACCTGAATATTTGAATGTTACAGATGTCATATTTTCCTTGCCGATAAAGGGTGCGGCACCAGTAAAATCCATCAACAAGGGGTGAGACCACTGTACATACAGATCTCCCTCTCCCCTTTCTTCCAGTTAATGTCTCAAGACCACCATACATTTATAGCTGAGCCTATTTGGCCACATCCCATAAAACATGAGGGAGACGAACCCGGGTGCATTTTAGCAAGATGCTCGGGTACCAAGTACCATCTGGTGAGCACTTTGTATCCTGATTCAGCAAGGGCCACATTCATTATGCCCTTATGTACTCACATGGACCATGTTTGGCACTCTGTCACATCAGGAGACATGCCCAAATCCCTCTCCCAAGCAATTTGGTAGGAAAGTTTTGACGACGGGGAGACAAAGGATTTATACAGCATGGAGATGCAGCTCCTCGTGAGAGTCCCCTGTATACATTTGCTTTCCAACTGTGTACAAACTCAAATATCAGGACTCTTCTGTTGCAGAGTGCTAAGAAAACTCTCCGAGGGGGGCATCTGCAACTCCCATATGTAGTATGAGGCAGAACATATCTCCTTATGATCTATAAATTGTCCTATACGATAGAGGCCTTTATTTGTCCACCAGCAGAATGGTGTCATAACTGGTGGAAATAACGGGTTGTTAAAGAGAGTAGCCACAGGTGTGTGTGGGGGAAACTGAGAGACCAACGTCTGCATGTCAAGTTTTATATAGCTAGCAAATGGGATAGCATAGGACACATAATTGCCCTTTGGTGTTTTGAAGGGAGCCACAGGACCATGTCTATTGGCACAGGGGAACAAGATTGGGCTTCTACAGATACCCAATCCAGTTTATAGCATGTACAATGAAATTGGATGAGCTGAGTGAGTTGAGCTGCAGTATAGTATTTCTGAAAATCTGGTACCCTTAGTCCTCCCATATCTCTAGGATTGTACATAGTGTTTTGAGCTAACCTGCTACCCTTCACAAATTTTTGATTGGAACAGTCTTAAGGCCTCCACTGGTACTGAAATAGGTAGGGTG